CCACGACGGTTTCGGGAAAAGTTAATCTGCTAACTTGAAGATTCGTTAGCAGATACTAACTGATATCTAAATTACATGAACTAGTATCCAAGTACTAAAGTATCTAGATAGCAGAGACTAGTATTCAAAGTTTGCTAACTGATATTCATCATGAATCAACTATTATCCCAAATTCACAAACTAATATCTAAACAACACAGAATAGTATTCATACAACACATAGTTAGTATCCAGATAACACATAAAAGTATTCATATTGAATACTAGTTGGTTGGTTGTGGATATTAGTTGGTATCTGCTATCTGGATACTAGTTTGTGATGTTTTGAATACTAGTCTGTGCTATCTAGATACTCAGCAGACTTGAATATTAGTTCATACATTTTGGATATTAGTTAGTATATACTAGCGAATCTTCAAGTTAGCAGAATAACTAGGCTGGACGGTTTCCCAATCAGGATCTCCCAAACACTGCAAACTTGAATTGCTTAACTGGCCAGAATGAAGGGCTCATAAGTTCTGAGCTATGTCATACCACTCACATTCAAATAGCACAACTCGAAGCTCTTCAGTATAACGAAGCTCAATGATATCAATGAGAAAGCCATAATAAGGAATTCCACCATCATTCTCCCCTCTCATTAAGATACCACTATTCTGACTGCTCTCCGTGGACTCGTGTTGTCTAGTTTGAAATCTAAATATGTTGATACAATATCATGTTAAGTGCAAGACTCGCTTGTCTGGTTCTCAACAAGGTAGATATGCTCCTTATCAAAGATTCAACCAACCTCGCATACCATATGGTCAATGGCCTATTCTAGGAGGGAAGAAGCCCGATGATTACCCTAATATCATCTCTACCAATGCACCCTATGTTCGTGAAGCACAATGGCAAAAGAAACCAATTCCACCTAGATTTGGAAATCAACCTCAATGAAACACAAGAGAATGTACTAAAAATGCATTGATAGAAGGGGAAAATGTATCAAATATGAGAGTGATAAACAATATAAATAGAGTTTCATTAGCCACTACACTAGCCTCCCTATATCACGTATTAACCAAGAGACTAGCAATTTAAAGTAAGATGAGCTTTGGAAGTGCTTTGGGGAGTGTGACATTATTTTAAAAATTGAAAATTTTATGCTCAATGTGCACAACAATCATTCCCCAAAAGCATGAACATTTTATCGAAGTTAGTGTATGAAGTGCAGTCTAAACTCTCCCCACACTTTATATAGGACCATGTCCTTATTGGGCCAAGCAAGAGAGTATATAAAGCAATTACCTCGAGTGTGGAAATGCTTCGTGCACAATCGGCTAGTTCCTTTTTTATTTCGGCCCTTAACAGAAAATAAATAAAAAGAAAAATGAAAAGAGCAAGTGCGTCATCTCCTCACCTACGACAATGACCTTACAGAGGTTTGCCTAACGAAGAAACTAATTTGAGGGATGAGACATATGTACTAGTAGAGATATTAAGTTTAGAGAAGATCAATAAAGAGAAATCGAGATTCACCGAGGATATGATTTATATGGGAAGTTCAAAGGCATACTTAAGATGATCACTTCATTGTTGAACCTAACGGCATTGTTGGTGATATCCTAGTAAGATATTATAAAATTGTGTTCCTGGTTGATTTTTGGGTAATGTCTATTTTTGTTCAAATCTTTTTTGGATTCTTTTTTATTCGTCAAAACTATTGAAATACTAAGAATTAACCAAATCTTTCGTAATGTATCAAAATAGAGGAATTTTACAATGTTATATAGTATTTGTGCTATAGGTTGTTGCCTTTATGGTACAACTTGAAATTGTACTTTTAACGTTATGGTACAACTTCAGATTGTACCTATACTTTTTGTACAAATTCTTTTATGGTACAACTTAAACTTGTACCTTATGTGATGGTACAACTTCAAGTTGTAAAGTAGTCAATGTATTTGCTTGGAATGATAAAGATACCATGTGTCCTCCACCAAATCCTCATAAAGTTGAAATGTTGCATGAAGAACTGTAGATATGGTTGCTAATTCTGGAATCGAGAAAAGTGCTTTGAAGTGTTTGTAATGTGCTCATAGATAGATGTATGCACTAGAGTCTTGGGCGTGGAAGCATTAAGCATGTAAAGGAGTGCAATTTTCGCTAAGGTAACGCCTTCTATGATTTCACGATCATGTCATTGGAGATCACAACCATCAACTGCTCCCAATTGATGGTAGGGGTGATAAATGGTTGGTCGGTTATCAGTTTGAACCGATAACCACACTAATAATTATGGTTAATATGACACCCTCGACATTTATTTCATCATTAAATTATAATTATCGAGAAGGCTTAAGTCATAATGATCACATGGATGACATATGTATTTCTAGAATACTTAGGTCATATAGACGTAGGTAGTGATGTCCCTTTAAAGTAGGATAGGTTACGAATCGTAAAGGTATCGCGAACCACTTAATTATCGATATGTGTTGGTTGGTTGATTTTAGTGTTTGGTTGAGCCACTTTATCACAGGAAAATCTGTAGGAAATTAGGAGTTAAGTGGTTAAATGTAAGAAAGCCAATTGGAAGGATGAGATTGGATGAAGAGAAGTAAAGAGATTGACATGAGGGGATAAGAGAGGGCAGATTTTTCTACACCTCATTTAGTCCTTCTTATCATCTTCTCTCCATCACTCCCTTCCCTATCATGTCTCCACTCCTTTACAGAAAACATGCAACCGACAGAATCAAAAGGAAAGAAAAATTTGAGAGTTAGAGTTATAGAAAACAAAGGAAAGGAAGAAAAGGGTGAAAGCTAGAGATTGTGAGGAAATGAGCAAGTCGGGAATCCTCAAAGGGAAAAAGGCTTGCGGATTAGGGAACGAACTGTGAGTAAACTCTAACTTATTAACTGTATGGATACAAATATGGTATTCGGGTCATGAAGCGGGCCGAATATGGAATATGAAATGTGAAATTGGTATTTCACTATAAGTAGATGTGTGTGTATGAAATGATATGTGATGGATACATGGGATGCGTGTATGACTATGTGATGTTATGTGTGAAGTGTGATCAATGATGACTATGAATGAAAATGTAATGTGCATGTGATATGAAATGGCCTAAAAGGCGGTGTTATAGTACTAGAAAGCCTATGAAGTGATGAGAGGATAATGTACAACCCGAATGTCTATGAGATGGATATTGGGATGGTCTAGTTGGCTATCCTGTTATACTGGAAAACTTGTAAGGCGGAAATGTGATACTAGGAAGCCTATAAGGAAATGGTGTGCTTATATGGAATGGTAAGTTTGATTATGTGAATGTTTTGAATACGTGAATAGATATGTGTTAAATGATTGATGATATTGCTTGCTACTTGTTTTGTGACTAAATGAAGAATTGTCTGATCACCTATATTAAGCTTAAAGGCGTCCGTTGTTACTCTATGATATGAGAGTCCGACCGGCCCGACACTTGATGCCGAAAGCTGCAAAGTGATGTAGGGTGCGACCGGCCCGACACTTAATGTCAAATGCTGCAAAGTGGGGTTCGACCGACTTGGAATTTGGTGGCAAAAACTGTGAAATGATATAGGGTCCGACCGGCTTGACACTTGATGCCAAAAGCTGCAAGATACCAGGGGAAGTACATGACCTGGCAAAGTGAAGGCTAAAATACACGTAATTTGGCTAACACCATTGTATGCATATGTATGTTTATGTGTATATTTGTATCGATATGTTCTCAATTGGTTACCGGATTGTGATGAATATATGTATGGGATGAAATGACAAGTTGGACCCGAATGATCGATTATATTAGGGAAAGGGAATAGGAACGGGGTTTGACTTCATTGACTGTTATCTTTGTGTTGATACTATTGATAGGCTAGTTTTTGCTCATTGAGGTGACGTCTCACCCCGTCAAATTTTTCCCCATATTAGAAGTTTGTTTTTATTAGAAGTCAAGGGAACTCAGCAAGGCTCAGCTCGACATCAATGAGGTGGGATGGTGGACTCGGACTCTAACATGACTTGTTTATTGCATTTGAAGAGAAGATGATCTTCTCTACTGTCGTGCGTTCTGAAGTTTTAGAAGTTGATGTAAATTATGGTTTTGTTTGTAAACTAAACAAAGATGTAAAAGGTTTTAATGGGTATGATCTTGTGAATGTTTTAAAGTATGTATGAGTGTTACAGTTAATGGTTAACCGATAACCGCTAATTTCTTAATTGTTCAGTTTAGGTTAGCTGTATTCTGCTTAATGGTTAATTGCTAACCAACTAATTGGTTAGTGGTTAAATGATATGAAATCGATAACTGCCTACTAGTATAACTACTTAGTTTTGATCTCTGGCCAAGGAAAAAGTCCTAAATAAACCAACCAAAGTCGCAATTCCAGACACCCCAATTTTCTCTTATTGCAAACAACCCTCTACCCAAATTCTAAATGTGTTTAAGATTCAGAATCAAAACTCATCCTCTCTGACTCTTTTTTGTAATCGATAGGGCCAACATCGCACCCTAGTAGTCTTTGTTTCTTTGATATTTATGGATGATGACTATCTTGCGGTTCTTGTGTTTGATGTCTCGATAGTTATTATTTACTAATAAGATGAAGACGTTTGATTACTTTTAGTTTTATGTAATTTAGATTATGAATTCACGATGAGTGTTGTATTGTGTTATTTCTTATTATTAGTAATTTTTGTTGATAATGTAGAAGTTTAGTTAGCTTGTTTTACAAGTGGTTAGAATTAAATGACACTTGTTAAATGGGATTATGATTTGTGTATAAGTGTATTATAAGTGGTGATCAGACAAGTTTCTTCCAATTCGAAAAGTTTAATAGCATTGGAGACATTTCTCCCCATATTATGCCACCACAAGTTATTGGGGTAGGAGTTCGGCTTCAGCTTCGGCTTGGGCTTTGCTCGGCCCAGAAGGCCAGAACCATATCCACGAATTCTAGGGAGCCCAAAAAGCTTTGACCATTTCCAATACCGAATCAGTTTCGGCAACTCTCACAAGGTTTCTGGAACTCTTTAGAGCTTTCGGGAAATCGTCGCGCTCTCTCTCCTCATTATTCGGGTCGGCTACTCGCTCGCCCGCGCTCATAATCTACGTTTATATTTTGCTTCATTCAATATATAAGTTTCAATCCTGGCGGCCATCCGTATCAGGTTTCGCGAAAGTGGAGAATTTTTGCTTGGCTGGGTGCTTTTGTTCTAGGTTTTCTTTCTCCGACGTTTGTGGTTGATAATGGCGAAACCAGGACCCGACTGGGATGGGTTGCTCAAGTGGAGTCTTGCCCACTCCGATGGAACTGGGTCTAATCGCAACCTCGGGTAATAACGCTAGCACTGTGCTTTTGCTTTTTATTTTCTCCCTTCCTGCTGTTTTGAACTGATCTTGGGGGGTAAGCTTTCTCAAATTGGATGCTTGATGTGTGTTAATTGAAGCGAGGAGGATCGGAGATGGTTCATGGAAGCAATGCAATCTCAGACTGTGGACGTGGTTAAGCGGATGAAGGAGATTACGCAGGTCATGCAAACTCCTCCTGAAGTCTTGGAGGCCCAAGGAGTTACTGCGGCTGAGATTGAAGGTACTTAGCTTGAATTTGCCCTGGTTTGATCTGGAACTGTCGATTTGTGTTGTGGGTTCTAGTTTAGGGATACTTCTATTATTTGTAGCTGGCTAAAGTTGCGGACTTCTTTTGGCAGATATGTTGGAAGAGCTTCAAGAGCATGTGGAGTCTATTGACATGGCAAACGGTGAGTTTCCCTTGTCATTTATTCCTCTTGGTTAGGCTGTAGCTAGGGCCTCGGGCATTGCACGCTTCAAGTTGGTAATTTTGTTGGTCGATGGCATGGAAGTTGCTCTTGCCTGTGTTAACGTCCTGCGGTCACTAGTTGTTTATATGGGAGAAGTCCATCGTGGAACTAATAGGTTATGATGTGAATGATATATGGAGATGACATTTGTTGACTAATCATGTGTGTTTGTTCACGACAGATCTTCATTCCATTGGTGGTTTGGTCCCTCTACTTGGTTACCTGAAAAACTCACATGCCAATATCCGAGCAAAGGCTGCTGAGGTAGTATCCACTATCGTCCAGAACAATCCCAAAAGTCAGCAACTGGTTATGGAAGCAAATGGGTTCGAACCTCTCTTGTCGAATTTTGCGTCAGACCCAGATGTAACTGTACGGACCAAGGCCCTTGGAGCAATATCATGTAAGTGGTGCCCTAGCCTGTGTTAAAAGTAACTAGTCTCTAGTAGCCATCAGACTTTGGTTAAGTACTTATCAGAATCCTCTTGCCTATATTCCAGCCTTGGTTCGACACAATAAACCAGCTGTCACTGCATTCCGCCTGGCTAATGGTTATGCGGGCTTGAGGGATGCTCTGAACTCTGATAATGTGAGATTCCAGAGGCAAGTGTGGAGTCTGTGGCCTTCAGTTTTCGCTGCTTCTGCTAAATTCTAAAAATTGTTGCTCATAGTTGTCTGACAAATTACTGCAAATTCCAGGAAAGCATTGAACTTGATCCACTACCTCCTGAAAGAGAACACTGCAGATTGCACCACTGTAAACGAGCTGGGATTCCAACGCATACTCTTACATCTGGCCTCGAGTGAACATGGAGATATCCGTGAAGCTGCCCTTGGTGGCCTACTGGAGCTTGCTAAACACGACGTGGATGTGGGAAAAGTTGGTCGGTCAGCCGAGGAAGACCTGAAATTGAAGGCACTTCTTGAAGAACGGATAGAGGGTATTAGATTGATGTCCGCCGAAGATCTTGGTGCTGCTAAAGAAGAGAGGCAACTAGTCGACACTCTTTGGGAAACTTACTTCAACGAGCCTTCATCACTTCGAGAGAAGGGCCTGCTTGTTCTCCCTGGCGAGGATGCACAACCACCTGATGTGGCTAGCAAGCAATTTGAACCTCCTCTTAGAGCATGGGCAGCAGCGAATAAGGATGCCACCGCTGAAAAGAAACAGGCTCCTCCACTTTTATTAGGAGCTGGCCCTGCTTCGGGATCTGGCTAATGTCTCCGGCCCTTATGAGTGCAGAGCAAGCAGAGGCTGAGCAGCAGCAAAGAAGCACGAGGTGAAGCAGAGTGCAATTCAACTTTCGTTCATTGTTAGTCCAGTAATACTGTCATTCTTGTTTATTTGACTAGAATCAATACCCGTGGCTACGCCACAGAGACTAAAGTTGCATCAACATGATTATATGGTGGGCAGTTTAGGTGACGATAAATTGGAATCATTGTATTATTGGCAGTGTGTCGTTTTAGAGTATTGGAAGTTTGTTCATGAACCTTTGTATGTTGAGTTTCATAGTTAATTAGAATGTTCCTCTATCAATGTACATCTATGCCATTGAGTTCCACATTTTAAAGGGGAAAGTAAAAAGCAAATGCATTTTCAAAAAGAACTAATCGTAGAAATATTTGTGAAGGCATGCTTCATTTGGAGGAAATTTGATGAGCAGTTCATATTTGTTCAAATTTAAATTTCGAAAAATGCAATGCTGCAATTTAATTATGTTATATGTTAAACTGGACTTGGCCTTACTGATGAGAGAACGAAAACCCAAGCTGAAATGGAAAAGAGAGCAGAAAGACAAAGCCAAACATCACTGTTATTGTGATGCACTTGTCAAGGCAACCTTTTTAAACCTTACTAGACTCTCCATCTCCAAGCACTGTACCAAACCTGAAACTAATTTAATTATATTGGAAAACATTGAGCAAACCTTTTAAACTAAGGAAGAATATCAGAAGCAGAATTCCCACAGCGAGTTCTGGATGAAGAGTGATCAAACATAAATCTCGTATGTATCAAGTTCACCATGTGAGATTTGTCACCCTATATTTTCAGTTCAGCAATGACTTCCTGAAAACCGTGAAGAGATGGAGAAAAGGCAATTCAGGACTGGAAAGCAATTCAGTAATGGCTCCAGGAAAAACTTTGTATCCAATTTCAGTAGATGAAGTAAGCAAGAACATGTGTGTGACTAACCAATTCCATAACTCAACTCACTCTCTGAAAGGATAACATTGTTCTTCAAGTTTTGAACTTCTCAACAGCCCAACAGACCTACATATCTGCCTTTTCCAACATGTAGATTAGATAGGAACGGTAAGCAATCAAGTCAAAACCTTCAAGTAGAAAAAACAGTTCGAAGATAACATGTATGCATTCATTGTGAGCCGGAACTGGTTGGAGCTGGAAAAGAACAGAAGGTGAAGGGACCTAAAAAAGCATTAGAGAGAATTGAATGGATCATACCTCTTTGTAGTACGTAGCAGAAGAGTGATACAGACTAAGAGCTAGAGTCCTTCCTAACATAGTAACATGAATTATGATGATATCTGTACTACGTTCTAGGGCTTACTAACTGAGCTTTGTAATTAGGATCTTTTTCATGCCCAATTCTAGCTGTAAGAAAAGAGGAAATTGTAAGCAATTAGTTGAAAGTAGTACACCATGAAAGCATTGAAGAAAGCATGAAGTGGAAACAGATAAATGAGAGCAGTAGCACCGTCCTAGGTCCTATGTAATCCAAACAATAGAGAGGAACTGACCACTAACTTTTAAGACCCAGTCTACATTCCTTGCAAGTTGCCTAACATACAAAACACATTAGACAAACATAATTAAGGAGAGAAACAAAACAACTCAGGTTCAATGAATACCTTTTCTCTGCTAACTACTTGCTAGTTGCTAATAAATTTGTTCATTTACGACATATAAGCCTCTCAAGTCAAGAAAAAGGCAGCAATATTCCATACCTGAGATGCAGATCTCAAGTGGTCAAGTTCCTTGTCGAGATCATTGATGGCTAGGTTATATTTCTGCATTGGTGAAGACTGACTGGTGGTGTGAATCTACAAACCAGCATCAAGTTGGTTACTACCCTAGAAAATTCACTGAACACCACACAAATATTTGCCTTCCAACAAAACTTTGTCATCCAACTCTAAACAGAAATGGAGGTGGGGGCTGGCACTATGGAGAGTTGATAACTGAATTTTGCACCAGAAGAATTTCTATCAACAGCCAACCCATCCATTCTATTCAACAAACAACAATGATAACAAAAGATGATAAACTCGGAGGTGCAAGCCCTTATTCTACTGAGTATCGTAAACAAAAGCTTTTGCTTCAACTGAGACATGTGAGGTCAGGGTTGATGTACTCAGGAAAAAGTGGAAAACAACGCAGAGTGGTCACCAGCTGAACAACAGATGCAGCATATACCAAATTTCCCTCAAGTAGCACCATAACCATTAACAACACATAAAATATCAGAAATTCGCCGCCTGCTTCCTCTACCCATTAGCAAAACCCTAAACACACAAAGGAAGAGGAGGAATGAAAGGCACAATCTTTCCTCTAAATCATAGCATTAGACACTCACCCTGACACTGATTTTGTAATGCAGAGGGTGAGGGAGCTTGTACCAACGACCGAAACATTCTCGTCCAAGTGAAGATGCATGTTCAACCAACCATAAGGAGAAGGAAACCGTGTCTTCTTGCATAACATAAGACTCTCACCCTTACAATGATTTTGTAATGAAGAGGGTGAGAGAACTTGTACCCACGAAACATTCTCGTCAAAGTGAAGCTGCCTGCTCAACCAACCATAAGGAGCAGGAAAGCATCAGAACTTGCACCTCCTTCTTGCTACAAATCCAACACAATCATTCAATACAGAAAATAACATAAGAAAGCCACTGCAAAACCGACTATTTAGTGAACAAACTCACTAACTCACTTGGCGAGTGCTAATGCTTTGTTGGCGAGTGCAAAGATCTCCGCCATTGCCAGGTCTCTTGCCCGAGCATTGTTGTATCTCTCCTGACAAACCCTGGTGGTGTTGTCACTCAAATGAAGTTTGCTGTTTTTGGTAGTCAATCACGGTAGGCATTGGTAAACCCAACATAGGCCTAAGTTATTAAACAAACTTCAAGATGAAGCTATATCCATGGCCTATAAAATTCAAAGAAACTTTGAGAAACAAAATGAAAAGCAATCTACCTATTAAAAAAGGTCATCGAAGCGTTGATAGCAGCAAGCATAACCGAGCAACAGCTAGCAAATAGCAGTAGCAGAATTACAGCCCAACAGCAGCAAGGAAAGAAAACGAAGATTGTGAAAACAATAAGAAAATGGATCCATTAACAGCTGACATTAGTTGCACCGATTGAACCTAAATCTTACTATGGTTAAGACTGAGAGTTCAAAGTTGGGTGGAAAACTAAAACCTTCAATGAAGAATGAGTCGGTGAGTAACTTACAACAAAAAGGAGGCCATGTCGACCCGATGCTTCTGAGCAAGCATCTCAACCGATGAACTTAATCCATCTTCTAGACACTCTCCATGTATGGAGGAGCTGCAATTTCTGGACGGGAGCTTTGTCCGTCCATCTGAGCTTCGGAAGGACGACTTCATTCACAGGAGCAAGCTAGGCAGAAGAGGTGAGTGTGTATCAACTGAAGAAAGAAGAGGAGTTGGAGATGAATTCAAGAGGAGAGGGGTGAAGTAGGTCGTTCTTCCACTAAGCAAGGGGAGTAAGGCAAGGGGGTACAATGAATGGGAGGGGACGTGTTCAACAGGAGCGGAGTGGACTGGTAGTGGTAGTGCGGCGTTTACAGGAAAGGGCCGATAGGCAGTCGGCATGGTGAAAGGGGGTACAATGAGTGATCCGCTGCTGCAAATTTTCCGGTAAAGGCGGACTGGGGTAGGGGTACGGAAAGGCCAGCTGCTGATTCGGCCGCAAACGGAGTCGAGGGGGCGGTGATTCGGTCGAGGCGAGTCGAAATTGAGCGACGACAGTGCGGGAGACATCTGCTACTCCGCCGAGGGGGCTGGCTGCGCGAAGACCTATTCGCTTTTCCACTAATGAAACGGTAGCAGGGAGAGGAAGGACAACGATTTGCCAGTGCCGTGTTGGGCAGAGCAGAGTGGGTTATGAGTGGTAGACCGGTGATTCCGGGAAAACAGCATGGTCAAGTGACGGCAGGACCAAAAGAACACTATTCCTTCCAAGTCTTGCGGTAAGGGCGGACTGGAGCAAGCGTACGGGAGGCATGGCTGCTGACTTAACCGGACAACGGCGGAACTGGCTTCTGATTCGACGCAATCGGAGTGTTCCCGGCCGCCGCGACCAGCTTCCATGCGGAGAACATAAAAACCCCTTTTCACTAAGCGACAAATAGTGAAACGGTAGTAAAAAGTTGCGGATAATAAAGCGTACCCACTTTTTATCTTTTAAAGAATACTCAACGGTGTAGGGAATTTTTGTTTTCCTATTAGATCGCTCGTAATTTTTCAGGAGTTGTATGGAATTTTCATCACTGAAGTTTACGTGTTCACTACTGAGAGTGCCTGAAATTACTTTTCTGACCCCTGCTAGTCCTCTGTTAAGGTAGTGGTCTCATCAAGCTGACTGGATGGGGAGTTGGGGACTCAACAATGCTGACACTGCTAGTATCTCAAGAGCTACACTAAGCTGGACAACAATCAATCCTTTGCAAAAGCGAAAGTGAAAAGACAACTGAAATCAAACATGACCGCCGTGAATGATGCAAATAAACTGTGAAAGTGAATCCTATGCTTAGGTGGGCAGAAAGTGATCACGTAGCGTGAAGCCCTGCACTTGTTGACACTGGAGTGGACGAATCATCGAAAGCATAACTGTAAGCCTTGGGGCAGATAGCCTTAAAAAGATACGCAAATAGGGTAGGCTTGCAAGTATTCAGATACGCATACTCTCCAGTACAACAATACTGCTGCTATCTTTCCTCCTCAATTCCAAGTTCGATGGGCTGCACACGTTGAAACCCCACATTGTTTTAGAACTCATTCACTACCAAACCCTAATGTGATAGCAAGAGTTGACCGAGGAAGAGTGTCTTGACTTAGTTCACGATGGGTGATAGTTTGGAAGGGAGAGATAAGGTTTTTGGCCGATGCTAGTGGCCTTTGGTTGAAGAAAAGGGTTTTAGTTGGAACTGTAGAACCTTCGGGTTCAGGTCGAAGATGTAGAACCTCACGTCATAATTGCCACCACTTAAAAAGCCTTTTCCTCATGTCCAAGACAATTGCCAGTCATTTGAACCCGTGTCTAAGACCTCCGGACAAGCTAGTGATGACAACCATCCCGTGAGCTATAGCATTTAGAGGTTACCGCTGTGGTATTGAGACGATAGGGCCGAGAGTTGATGATTGTACACATCTTTTGCACCAAAAATGTCCCGACCCCACTGGTTTTGAGAGTGAGTGATTAATTCTTGTTTTGCATGTCATATTATACCCCAGTGAGGACCTTTGTTGCCTTTCCATTTGTTCCTCGGACTTGAATTCTATGCATGGTTAGTTGTAGTTGATAGGTGGTCTTGTTGAGACTTGCATTGATCCATGAACAAGGTGAGAACTTTTCGTTTGCCCATTTTTGGTGGCTTCGAATGTCGTTTGTGGTGGATGTCGGTATTGCTTGCAACGGTCCATGCATTAATTGCCAATAGCCATTGTGAATTCCCGCTTTGTGCCCTTTGAGTTGTCCCCAAAAAATGTTTGTAGGTTGAAATATTATCTTGTGTGAAATGGTTTGCTTGGGGACAAGCAAACATCTAAGTGTGGGGGAGTGATTCGGGCCTAATTGTACATATTTTACCCCCATTTTCCTTAGGCGTTTGTGGAAATTGTGCTCCTAAAAGGGTGGTTTTACGCGAGGTTTCTTGTGTTTAGCATGTTTCAGGATCTAACAGGTGAAACCAACCCTGGAGTCGAAAGTTGGACGAAAAGGAGCGAAAACCGGGAGAAGTGGTGAAAAGAAGGCAGTTCACGGTTTTCCTTCGATGTTCACGGTCTGCTTAGACCGTGAACTAGAGTTGTTGCCCGTGAACATCAAGGCATCCAGGGCCAAATCTCAAGTTACTGACGCGAATTGACTTCAGGTCACTAAGACCGTAAACTGGAGCAGTTGCCCGTGAACCAGTGCAAGCGAAGCGGTGCGTTTCAATGCCCATCTTGAGTTCACGGACGCGTTTAAGAGTTCATGGCCGTGAATTGAGATCGTGAACTGACCACGATCCTTGTTTAAAAGAAGAGCTGAAAGGAAGAGAGAGGAGGAGTCCAAAAAGAGTGAGAAAGTCTTCTTCTTCAGAATTTAGAGAGAGAAAGATGAACCAAAGGAGAAGGAGGCTAGAGTTTTGCTCCAAGGGTGGAATTGGGAAGATTCTCCCCAAAAGAAGTTCAGCACAAGTGCAAAGAAGATTGGAAGCCTCCCCATGATGGTTTCTACCTCTTCCCCTTGTGTTTCTCCCATTTTTAGCATGGAGTAGATTTCTTTTTCACTTGGGTATTGTGAAACCTTAATTATCTACCATGTAGGTTTTTTTATGTGAATTGAATGATCGTTTATGAGTGTTGTTTAATTCAATGCTTGAGGTATTATTCATGTTGATTGTGCATGTTTGTGCTTAGCAATCTAATTTGCCAATTTAACCTAGACTAGAGAGGGAAAACCCCCTTTGAAGGGAGACTTAATTGAGTTGGTATTCCTAGGGGTTTTTAAGTCACCTATTTAGGTTAATTTAGGACAAACCTTGATGTTGGATTAAGCAATTTGGTTAAGCGCGATTAAGCCGACCAACCATTGGGTTGAGTGAGGGAGTAAGTCAACCATCGATTGCCTAAACCAAGAGGGCCGAGTGACAGCCTATAATGTATCCCTCGGTTTAGAAATCGAGAGTGTGGTCTACGACCATATTTGCATCCCCTAGCGGTTCGCGGTCACCTTGCCCATAACAATCGTTTCGATTCACATGCCATGGTAGTAGTTAGGGGGAAGCGACACCCGAGCGATCCTTCTCACAAAAGAGCTTTCAAAACCATTTACTTTTACCTTGCTTTACTTTAATTAGCAAACTTTTCAACCAAAACCGAGTCGCTAGATAATGATTCAAATGACTGAAGTAGGGGTATACGGACCGAACCGAGTCGATATTTAAACATACTTCCCCTGTACTGCACCCGACTAAGGTTTATACTTGGACCTTAGGCGGGAATATTTAATTGTGGTATTCGGGACGAGTCAATAGCTCTTTCAATGGGTACTACCCATCGTCCACACTGAGGTTTTAACGCAGGTTATATCTATGAAGGAATTCCTATGGCAGGGGTACGGTTGCCTCATCCATCATAAGATCCTATTCATACATCTAACCTCAATTTGCTTGATGGTGCATACCCGTCTAACCCTAAAACTCCATACCCAACGTAGAAGCTCAAGTAGGCTAATTGAGAAGATTAGGGCATCTTACCTAAACACAATCAAAGCTAGAGAAACACTAAAATCAACTAGATGAACACATTCATTCATTAAAACCCTAAAATATCTATTCATTACATAGTAACCCTAGAACTAGGATTTAGGGTTCAGAACCTCTAGTATCTTAGGAGAGTACTCCATAAAGGAGGGGAGAAGATACATAGAAGAGATTGGGGAAGACTTGATGTTGAGGAAGGTGGCTCTTCTCTTCTAGGCTTCTGGCTCCTCATTCTTCTTCTTCTCTTCTCCTTCCTTTATTTGCTCTCTCTTCTCTCTCTCTCTCTAACTAGAAATTTCTGTCTCAAAATCAGATCTCTTGAATGAGGGAAGGGGGTCTTCTATTTATAGCCTTCAGAGAATCGAGAAGTACATGGCCAGTTAGTATCAAGATCGCGGTCGCGATCTTTCTCCTCGAGGTCGCGATCTACCAACACCGCCATTTTGGCCTTTCAAGTACGAGGGGTTTGTGGGCTGACTTCGCGGTCGCGATCCTTGAAGCACGGCCGTGAACTTCCTTGATGTCAATATGAGCTGTGGTCGTGATTGGAATGGAAAACTCTCAGTTTCTCCTCGGCTGGCTTCTTCACAAAGTTTGTGCCCGAAGCCTATAAATTTGCGGCCGCAATCTTGGGTTCCATGGTCGTGATCTTCGCCTAGAGTTCGCAGTCTGTGTTCTTGGCTATGCTCTCTATCTCCAGGACGTGATCATCAGCATTCTTACCCTTTTGCTTCACTTGTGTCGTTTTTCGTACCTAATTCACATATATTTTCCAAAGCAGCCTGAAATCACATCATAATAAAATAGCAACAAAATAGGGATCCAATCGACGCTACTCAAACGATTATGCACATGAATTAGCATGAAATTAACCTAAATATGAAGGGAAAATAACAACAATTTAAGTGTTATCGAGCTCCCCCACACTTAGGTGTTTGCTTGTCCCCAAGCAAACCTACTCAAACAAGTGAAACTTGATAAACAAATCAAGGTGGGATGAACTCTAATTCTTCATTGCATAAAGAAGAGCTGACGAAGACAGAAAAATGTTACTATCATCTCACTGTGCAAGCACAAACTCTTGAGGGAGAACCATACTTACTACCTTAGGACGAACATTCAAGGTGTGCACTGGTGGACTTCTGAATCATCAACTAAGCACAAGAACTCTTGAGGGTCTCTTTATTCTTTCTTTTGATTTAGGAGTTGTTGTTTAGTGGTCTTCTTTTTCTACGTTGAAGCTCATTGCACCAATCTTTTGCAAACTTTCTTGCAAGCAAGCATCTCTTCCTCAAGACCAAGAGCGGATGGATCATTACCTTCCCTATCAAGGTCACATGTGGGGTAGTTGATGGGCAAATTCTTCTTAGCCCAAGCACCACTTCCCACCCTGCACTCCACATTGGGTTGCCACACATGTTGGGTACAAATGAGATCTCTGAGGTCTCATGAATCGCTAAAAGGTACTTTGTACCTTGGCATACGATTCTGTGAGGAGAAAAGATGTTTGGGGGATGCTAAGTAGTGAGAGATGGCCGGGACGCGGTAAAGCTATCCGATCCCCAAACATATCCTCAAAGAGCACTCCGAACCTTGAAGGTCAGTTGCCTCTCACGTGAGAACCTCTTTTTAAAAGATTTCGAGTTAAAAAATGATAGAGAATCTCGCACACATGTTCTTCCTAAAATAGCAGACATTATCAACTCACCAAAGTGGAAGAAGAGAGTAAAATCCCTCATACACGGGTACCCTAATCATGCAACTAATCCCTAGCGAGCAGAACACATCAACCATCTATCAATTCAAATAATATCGAGTTGGGGATTGCATTCAAGATTCCAAAACACTATCATTTGGCCAACCAACACCACAAACACATACAATCGCTAGCATACACTCCCATTAGCATTCATCAACATCTTACATTCATAAACAAAGGAGGATACTAGCAACAATGTCTCAATCAATCATGAAAATCATTCAAGCATTCACATAGATGTACCCCCCCTGAGCAACACACCCTGTTCTCAATGTGGGAGTTTCAAAAGAGAAGATCATGAAGGTCACCATAGGTTGGGTTGTGATGGCAGCTCGTTGAGCTAGGGACGGCCGTCAAAGGTAGGTAGTGGACTTGGGTGTTTTGATTAATTAATTTTATGTTTAGTTTACGGGCTTGGGGTATAGTAGAAGGCTATTTGGGAGGAGTCCTTTTTGGGTTTAGCTGCCGAGTTCGGCTAGGATAGGGAGAGTAGGGGAGGGTCGGATAGAGTAGGGAAATTTTTAGGGTTTTCATATTATATAAGTGTAAGTCCAGCATTAGTCCGTATCATCGAATTAATAAACGAAAAGGTCTTTCGACGCCAAAGTAGTTCTCTCCCTTGTGAGTTACAAGCAAACCCTTAACTCGAGGAAACGAGTTGCTATCAATTGGTATCAGAGCCTGGTTCCGAATTCTTTCG